GCAGAATCTAGCTGTAGCTTTGGATTGTTTTACGTACATCTGCGGATATTTCAACTCATTCGTCCCTTTCCCACAGTGTAAATGGGTTAATGTTGAGTTCATCTTATTTTATTTTTTTTCTGGAACACTTTTGCCGTTGTGTACCATGTAGACTTGATACTTGAGACTTTATAGGTTTCGCTATTGGCTTTTTTGATGTAAAACTCATATTAAATCTGCAAGGAGTTTTCATCATCCGGGACTTCGCAAAATAATGTTTTAGCCAAATTTCTCCTTTCCGAAAGTTGATAGTTTCCAGAAACAAGGATTGTGCATTTTAGCGCTGAAGGTATCAAGTTGGAACGCAGCAAGGTGCGGGGCATCTTGACTCTCTCGTACACGCCTATGGGTGCGAGTAAGACAATCGATGCCAGATGCGTTCCTGAATGGGAGAAATAGTTTAAATTTACTTGATGCCCTGCAATGTAAAACACGCCGATTGTTCAAACGACCGACACTAAATCGCTTGGTAGATAATAATTTCGTTAAATTCTATCGCAATATTCCCTCAACTTAGGCAAATATCTGGATTACGAAGGCAAAAGCTTGCGATCTGCTTTTACATCGGTTTTCACCTCGTTTGGCCTGCTTTCTGGTGACGCTAAGGGCAAATTGCGGCAGAATTGGATGAAAGTGTAATGAGAGCGCAATTACTTGAGTACAGGGAAGTAAAAAGGCAAATATCGATCTTCACGAGTGACGATTTCTTGCCACACTCTTACATAGCTGAACTATTCACCATTCTTCAACCCTTTTCCTTATTCTGGTCCTTTTCAGGGCAAGCAAAGATTGGTCCTCCTTAGAGGGACGCAGAGACTCAAAATTAGCCGAAGTGTGGGCGAGCTTTGAGGAAAAATTGAAGAACAGACCAAACACATGGATCAAGTCGTGCGAAACCTGGACCATGTGATTGGTGCGAAGAACGAGGTTGAGGTAGATTGAAGTTTCTATCTTTTGCTTGAGTTTGAGTGTCCTACGAGCTTTAACTGGAGGATTTTGAGGAAATTGTTCTCTATTGCAGGCCTTGCAGTCTGGGGAGAAGAAGCCTCAAGAGTATCAACTGCTGGAGGATTCCTAGCTGGTGCTTCACTTTTTGGAGGAATGTTCCTCCAGAGCGTCAGATCTTTTCAAGAATTTGGATCAGCCCACTGCGTCTTTCCGTGCAGGCGTGTGTTTGTATAAAAACCTTTGCTGAGTTTAGGCAAAAGTGATGCAGATTAGAACTTTGTTTTGCCAACAAAAACCTTATGGGGTCACCTAATCATTGAATTCGGACGTGTAGAAGAACAGCATTTTCTGAGAATCAATCCTGACTAATTAAAGTTAGGCAATTTTTGCGAACATTCCAAAAAAAAGACCCGATAATTCACGCCATCCTCGAGTTAAGTGCGGTGATTAATATTTCGGATCAAGATAACTGAAAAGTTAATTAGGCCTTTAGGTCCGATTTTGAGTCCGCGCCAATGCTTTTCGCCCCTCCAGTGTGGGGATGGCTTCTCCAACCCCCTATTGATCCAGGTCTACATACGCGCTTCCATAACCTAACTAGTTGATTCTTCCCCAACTTGCTGAGGCTTTTAAAAGTTCAATTGGTCGCCTGCTGGTCTGCTCTATCTGCTATTCCAGTGCTAATCCAGGCATTTTTGCTAGCGTTTTCGGAATGTTAAAGATGCAACTTGAGATGATTTAATACGGTCTTCAGTAGGAGAATGATGCAACAAAAATACTTACTTTTCCTCGGCGAGATTCGGGCCTGGAAATCGCAACTTTTGATCGAAAAATGCAAGATTCACGATGCCCGGAGGGTGGAAACCGAAGCTGACACACGCAAGGGTGAAACTGAACTAAGCAGGAAAGCGCTGTTTCGTAAGACATGCGTTAGCGCCCCAGTGCGGGAAAATTGCAGACCAGATTGTCGATATTTTCCTTTCGGTTTAGATGTTGATTATCGAAAAACTTCCATTGGGTCACTGTTGAGGACTCAAAATTCTGGCACTCTCAGAAATTGCCTTTCAAGTTCCTTCAACTAACTACAAGAGAAAATCTAGAGAAACATAAGCAACGACAGGAGATGATAATATAGAACAAATACAAACTGACCATGTAGATGAAACTATACGAAACGTAATTAGCCACAAATCATCAAATTATGCTAAAGAAATCACAAAAATAAATAAGAGTTCAGTTGTGAAGAATGTTTAGAGTAAGATATTGAAACATCGTTCCGATTTCTTAAAATCGCAGATGAAAAGACTGCAATCACTGTATTAAAACATTTTAAATTAGAAACTGCGAAAATCACACATGAGCGGCAGCAATTAACCAACAAATATACACGAAGAAATCGCTAGAAGAAGATCAGATATTTCCAATAAAAATTAGCGGAAAATCAATATTAGAAGAGCGAAAGACACGAACTTAGAATGAGCGGTTGACACAGTGTCTATTTTTTGCGGACGACACTGTAATCATTTCGAAAAATGAGTGAAATCTTCGTTAATACCTCAATAAAGTGCCGAACAAACTGCAGGACAATGACAGGAAACTTAATATACACAAAACTACTGAAATTGAATTGATATAAAATTGAACAGTAAAAAAGAAGGAATCGAAACGATTTCCGCGGTTACGAAAAGACCAAAATATGCTACAAAAGTGGAAGAAATAAGGAATAGAACCGTTTAAGTAAAATTGAACCTCAAAGAAGAAGAAATGGAAAAAGATGCAAGTGAGAGCAACAAAAAGTGATAATTTATTGAATGAAACTGTTGAAGTTAAATTTAACAGTACCGAACAAAAAATTTTGAGAATTTGTACGGTTTTAAAGATGCAAATAAGAAGCTACACAATCAGGAACAAAACCGTTCGGGTAAAATTGAATCTCAAAGAAGAACAAGTCGAAAGTGTTTTCAAAATTAAAAAAGGACAAATAAGAAACTGCAAAAGAAGATAACAAATAAAGCCGTTGAGGTTAATTTGAACAACAAAGTTGAAAAAATCGAGGGTGTTTGAAAAGGATTTGATGAGTCAAAAAGAGGCACATAAGAAACACCAAACGAATATAGTAAATAAAACGGTTGAAGTAAAATTGAACATCAAAGCAGAGGAAAATGAATAAAACCTTTGAAGTAACATTGAGCAGTAGAAAAGTAAAAATTTAGGGGATTTGCGCGATATGAAGAGATAAAAAAGCTTCGAAACAAGAAGAAATAAGGAAGGAAAACGTTTGAGTATAACTGAACCTCAAAGAAGAAACAACCGAAAGGGATTGACGACTCAAAAAAGGCAAATGCAAACAGATGCATCAGAAAAAGAGAAGATGATGTATAAAACCATTAAGGTAAAATTGAATAGTAAGTAAATATAAATCGAAAGGATTTGCGGAATTAAGAACAGTCAAAGAAGAAGTTAGAAAACTAGAAACAATAAGGAATAAAAGTGTTTAAGGAAAATTGAAACTGAAGGTAGAAGGAATCGCAAAACTTTGAGTAGTCAAAAAGAGACAAATAAGAGACAGCAGAAGAAGATCCCGTTGAAGTAAAATTGAACATCAAATCAGAAAATGTTTACGGGGTTTGAGCAGTTCAGAAGAGACAAAAAAATAAGATAATGAATGAAATCGTTGATATAAAATTGAGCAGTAAAATCTAGAAGATTTGCGCGGTTCAGAAAAGAGGAAAGATAACGAATGAAACCGTTCAAGTAAAACTGCAAACTGAACTGAACAGTAACAAAGTAGAAATCGAAAAGATTTGCGCGGTTAAGAAGAGAAAAATAAGAAACGACAAAAGATAAGCAAATAAAAAATGAAACACCTGAAGTATAATTCAACATCAAAGAAGAAAACATCGATAGAGTTTGTGGAGGCGAGAAGAAACAAATATAAGCAAAAAAGAAAGAGATGGAGGATAAAACCGTTGAAGTAAAATTGAGCTGTAAAGAAGGAAATTTCTAGAGAATTTGCGCGGTTAGGAAGAGACACAAATAAGCCAAAAACAAGAGAGTATAATGAATGAATCCGTTCAAGCAAAATCTAAAGCCAAAGAAGAAGAAATCGAAAGGTTTTGAGGAGTCAAAAAAGGCAAATGGGAACAACAATAAAAAAGTTCAGTGAATGAAACCGTTGAACTAAAATTTAACTGTAAAGACAAAGAAATTGAGAAGATGTAGGCGGTCAAGCCGAGACAAGTAAGAAGCTATAAAAGATGAGAAAATAGGAAACGAAACTGTTGAAGTCAAATGAAACATCAAAGAATAAAACATGAAAAGAATTTGAGGAGTCAAGACAAGAATAATGGAAACCAAAAAAGTGAAGATCACGAATGAAACCGTTGAAGTAAAATTGAACAGTGACGAGGAAGAAATCGAGAGAATTTGCGGTGTTAAAAAGAGGCAAACAAGAAGCGACAAAAGAAGAGAAAATAATTCGTTCAAATAAAATTCAACCTGAGAATAACATATTTCTAGGGTTTGAGAAGCGGAAAAGAGGCAAATAAGAAAAAGCAAAAGAACATAGCGTACGAAACCGAATTAAGTAAACTTGAACCACAATGAAGAAAAATTGAGGGGGTTTGAGAAGTTAAGAAGACACAAATAGAAACAACTGGAATGGAGAATAATTCTTGAGGAGCGCACAAGGCAATACTAAAATACTGAAAAACTTAAAACGAAATAGAGGTACTTGGAGCAACAAAATCTGCAAAATACTGGAGAATAAATGAATAAACTCGAACACCAAACATAAATTGAACCTACTTCTGAACCATCCATCGTAAAACAAAGACAGTGAATTAGACTGAAGTAGTAATGAGCAACATTCCTTCATCAAGAGCCAGTTTCCCCTGTAGAAGATCGACAACATTCCCCAGCCCATGCCTATACCCAATGGGTTGGGAGAATTCAACTCTCAGTTAGGCGAGGAACCCAAAGCAATCGCGCAACCATTCGCGGTACCAAACTCTTGCAATGCTGGCCGTTCGGTAGCTTTTGTTTGAAATTTCGAAATATTGACATGTGATTGGTTGCTCGTCGGTGCATTTTCAATTGTTCTGTGTGCGGTGCCAACTACGAATATGGCGCGGACTTGCACCAAATGGATATTCCCCATTGGGGCTTACTTCTTCATCGGGTTCGTCCCTTTGGTAAGTCGCCAGTGCACTACTTTCACCTTCAGTTGATTCTATGTTGCACTTATAATGCAGGTTTTATATGTTTTCGAGCTCGACGTTGATCATGCATATTAAAACCATGTTCAACAATTTGCATCCTCGCCCAAATGACTTCGATGCTTCCGGTTTCGGTGCAGACGTGATCGGATGAAATAAAACTGAACGCAGAACTACAGTTAATTCTGTTTGTTTTGCACCAAAATGAGCTTTCGGTCCAACAGTAGGTTACAACATTGCAAGTCTGCTGGTTGATGGTACATTTAAACCACCAGCAGATTAACCGAGACGCCTTTTAACAATTGAAAGTTTTTATTTAAGCGCGCTATTTGCATATTTGTTGTGAACATGACCAAACGGAGAAAAACGATGCTCAGTTTGAAAATATTTCAACTTGGGCTCCGGGTTTTTTTGTGACTAAGAGTCCAAAATTTGCATCCGCCGAAATGAAGTCACCAAACGCTGAGTGTGTCTAAGAAAAGCAAATAATGAGTTAATTAAGAAGAGCCTGAGAATTCTGGGTAAAATGTTCAAAATTATTCAATAACTGACTAACAACAGGATACTGTTTGTTCATCAATATGTTATGTGACGCAGATGTTACGGTTGGAATGCGAAAGGACATGCCATATTAAGCTCAAATTGGATGGTTTTTATTGATCCAAATCTGTTAGCTGTTCCAGTTACTAAAGCAGCACTTTGGAATTCTTCCAGAAAATCCACCAGCTTTGCCAGAATTTTGGAATCAACCCTAGAGCTTAGCGAAACATGCTTGAAAGCCACTGGTTGTTCGCGCGTTTATTACACTCTATCTAATTGGTTTATGAATTATTCAAAGCCATAAAGCCCGGAATTTGTTCAAATGAAACCGATTAATACTATCTCCATAACATACGCGGTTGATTGAATGTTTCATATTTACAAATAGTTGAAGATTCCACAATGAATTTTGAACGATAAACCACTCAATACTGTCAATATCCCACGTTAAAAGCCGCGATATTTCATCCTTGATGAGTAGTCATGAAATAATTAAAATTTCAGTCTTCATGATTAATTGCTTTAAACATTTCATTAAAATTTCTGTATACAAAGCATTCAAATAGGAAAGTGTATTTTAGCCGCCAACAAAGAAGCTGATGAATTTTTGGGTCTTTAGACCTCCGGGCAGAAAAATTTCACAAAGAAACTCACCAGTTTGAGCTGCGAAAGCCAAACTCTTTAAACACAGATAGTGATTGCTTTCTAATGCATTTTTTTTAGGAAGAAACCAAGTGAAACATGACTTTGCACTTGTTCAAACTTTCGGTTTTCATCCGAGCTTCAATTAGTCGATAAGCCTTAATTTAATGAGCCAAAGTATTTACCGAATAATTGGGTATGAAATTGAAACTAAACTTTGCTGGAAGATTTTATGCAAATTTTCAAATTGTTCAATTGCCAGAATCAATATAAACTGGCAAGTTTGGATTAAGTTTGGAACTGCATAAATTCTGATTGTTTCAAGCGATTTGGTTTCTGTTTGAAGCGTTATTTGGTGCAGTTCTTCCTTGGTGAGTGCGTGGTTTTGCAAAAAGTTGGTGCGCCAGCAAAGTTTTTACAGGGTGGCAAAGGAAACAATGCAAAATTGGTGAAAGTTCCAACGCAAACTAATTTATTTACCAATTGAACTAGAAAATCAGGAAATATTTTCACTAAGGATCACAATTATTTGTACTGAAGTTTGAAATGAAATAGTTTTAATCCTCTTAATTTGAGCCTCCCTTGAGCGTGGTACAAGCAACACTAAAAAGTACTGAGGCTCCCTTGAACGTTTTTTTAGCTACGTGAGCATTAAAGCCACTAAATTATCAAAAATCTACAAAAATCTGTGATAATTCACGTTTAAGTCTCAGTTCAGGATCAAGTCGCGTTATTTGAGCCTTTGCAGCCTTGGCAGGATTTTTCTGAGTGCGGATTCTGAAGGACGTTACTCATGTAGTTTGAAGCCTAAAATGAGCTTCTGAAGCATCAACTGATAAAAAATCAGCAGAAATCAAAAAAATCTGTGTGGCAATTAAGAAGGAAGCTTTCTGAGCTTTTTTCGGCACCAACCTGAATTAAAGCGGTTAATTGGTGTTATCGACGCGCAATTTTTGCGTAGTTTGAGGCAAAAAAACGTCTATTTAATCTCCCCAATTGTGGTATTTGGATTGAAAGTCACGCTTTTCGGCTAACGTATTCGAGAAAAAACATAAAATCCAGTTTTTAATTTTAATTCTCCTTCACAAAGATAGTGAAGTTTATGCACCAATTGAATGGGAAAATGCCATTTGGAGGATTGGAGTGTTCGAACGGTTTCGAACAAAAAAAACCTTTTTGTTCAACTAGAAGCATGTTAAACATTGCAAAATTTTGCATTTTTCGTATGTTGCAGACAGTTAATCCGAGGTGCTTAATTTTTACCAAAAACATTGACTAACGATAGAAAAAATCCTAAACTTCATGCATTTACCTAAAAAACTTCATGCAGTTTTTTAGGGCAAATTCGGTTGTGTTATTTTGCTTCATTTTGTTGAGCAGTTTACGTTCACAATAAAAAGATCTAGACAATTTGGAAAGTTATGGGAAATAAAACTCTTTAAGCTGCATTAAATCCGAATATGTACATTTCATTAAACACCTTGTTCCAGTAAACAGTGCACGCAATTCATCAATTAATTGGAGCATACCTTTCCTGAGATTTATTGTCCATTTTACGTTGGTCATTAGTTCAGTCTTCCGAGCTACTGAACTTTGCAGGAACTGTTTTTTGTTATTAAATCCTGATGCGTTAAGACAGTAACTATTGAAATGAAAATTACAGGCTTAGTAACTGTTGTTAATTTGGTCTATTCGTTTGCTCAGAGCCGGAAGAGAAATTTGTGCAGTAACTGCTCGTTTAAACCACTACTGTGTGAAAATAAATCACTTCTTCTGCCACCCAAATGGGTTTTTTTGGTTGAAATTTAATACAGAATTTGGCAATTTTCGACCAGTTGCAACATTTAGTTGCAGAGTTCTATTTGGACGTTCTTGGAAGCGCTTGGGCCCTGATGATGAAAAAACCTGCCAGATTAAAACTACAGTATCATGTAAACGGAATTGGTATTTTAATTCGACCTTACCCAGGCCAGGATTCTTATGCAACAATCTTGACATACAAATATCAGTCGTGACCAGTTATAGTAACCAAGAAATGTCTATGAAATCGGAGATAACAGATTTCGTTGCGTGGTGGTTAATCTATATTATTGATTTAGCCTCGTTTTTTTGCCTTCAGTTACCTGTTATAAAACTGATCAATTGGACCGAAAATTTGGCTTAAATCGAGAAAAGTTCCAAAAAAACATTCAGGAACTCATGAGTTTGGTTGCTGAATAAACTGCTTTGAACCCCCTTGAACTTGAGGCTAATGAATCAATAAATTTCTCCAATCAAAATTTTTCAAAGCTCGGAGCCGGTTTTGGGTTGAAAGAAACACGTTTTGTGTAAAATTTATTGTTATTTAAATAATTTGATTTGTTATTCATACATCGGCAACGTAAGAACAAAACGTTTCTTAAATCCGGCTGGGATTTTGCCGATTGAGCCACTTGAAACAGGAAAAATGGATTTAAAAATGAGAAATGTTCAAAAATGACTTCCAAATGCAGATTTTTTCAATGCCCAAAAGTTTCAAAATCTCAAGCAGACGGCCAAGGAGAAGAAACTTACACGGCAAGTCAGCAAGTGGCAAAGAATAATATAATGCTGATTCTCGCCTGCCGAAAAGAACTGTTAATTTTACAATTGGAACAAAAATGCAAACGACCATTGAAGAAGAAACCACAGAACCAAAAATGTGAAACAATCATTAATACGTCCAACAAATAGCCAACAAATATAGTTGAAAACAAATGCAACAAAAGATGGCAATTTAAAAATGCCGTAACATCAAAAAGGCAGCAATATTTTGAAAAACCAAACACTTGAAACAAATTATCATTTACAAAACCAACCAAACAAGAATTTGTTATTATGCCTTCTTCGCCTGGATTTTTGCCCTCACGTTTCGCTAGTTGACGCGGTTGATATCTTCAGTTCTCCAGTCACTTTGGCTGATCGTAATCTGACTGAAATCAGTTAAACCACACAACTGCAGTTTACATTCAGGAACGCATTACACATCGGTTATCTCACACGCACACATAGGATTTTATGAGAGAGGTAAGATGGCCAGAGCGTTGCTGCGTTCGAACTTGATACCTTCGCAGATTAAAATATTTCAATTTCTTGTCTTCAATATTAAGCTTCAAAAATGGGATTTGGTCCAGTTGGAATTAACTGGGAAAGCTTAAGGCCAACTGGCATCAACCCTGAAAAGAAATTATTTGAAAGTAAAACGAATTAAATTCTAATGTATGTTTTGTGCCTTGCACACCCGCGTTACAAGAAGTTCTCTATAATTTTCCTGCTAGTAAATATTCGTAGATATATGGGCAGGTCCAGCTGCATTAATGCAAATTCGATTAAATAACGCCAATAAACCGAACAAATAATAGCGGCTGTAGCGGACAACAAAACTGTAATAAATTGTTGTTAATTGTTTGTGCCGAAACTTGCCACTTTCACCGGCAGGAAATTAACAACATTCTAATGTTAGATAACATTGAACATCGCACGTTCCAGTTTGTGTAATAATTTATTAATATCGGCAGTCTGTAATTGTTGGAAATCGGGTTTTAGTGATCTCGATTTGTGCGTTGTATGAAAATTTTCGGTTGCTTCATCGGTTTGAGCTTCAATTCCAGCTACATTGGCATTGGCCAGCCAATGTGGCAAGACCTGCAGATATTGCGTACGATTTAGTAATGCTAATAGAAGATATAGATATACCGCTATTAGAAAATGTGTTACGCCTCATTGACGATGCAAGGAACGAGAGGACAACACCGTAATATTACTCATTTTTATTCGGGCACGTCAATTCTCCGTACTTTGTATTTGTTCCGGCGTTATGGCACGTTTTAATAGCAAATTCTGTAACCTAAATTCCTGAAGATAATCGCTAAATGCGTCGATAATTATTGGGTTTTTTAAAGCTCCAAAGACTCACAAGCCCAGCGCTTATCAACTGGTAAGCTCAAATTGCCCAAGTCTATCAATGTTCTTTGGATATGCAAATTTCCACTTTGCTCGTTGAAATCGTTGAAACTTTTAGCAAATTAGTTAAATTAAAGTTGCACAATCTTCATTGCAAAGTCGTTTAACAATCACAATTTGCGCCAGTTTTATTAATGGAAAACAATTATTCAAAACCTAATGGCTGCAATTAATAAAAATTATTAATAAAGATAGACATCGGAAGACAATTAAAAAGACGAAGTGAAACTGCTTGCATTCGGTTCGATTTACCGGAAGAATGTAGCGGAGCAATGTAACAATTCCGTATTATTTTTAATTTATTAATAAACAATCCGAGCTTTTACTTTCATGAATGTGCTTAATTGTTAAACACTTTGCCACGCCTATTTCGTGTCTGAATTCTTTGCAAAGGTATGAAACCTTGGATAGTTTGTATATGGTTAACAAGGGGATATTTACTTTTTAAATGCTTTCTGCAACGTGTATTGGGGTTTGAAGCGATAAAATCTTAGCGAAGATCGATAGCTTTCAAGGTTTAGATTTTTTGTTTTTTCGCTGTGTAAGGTGGAATCCAAGAAGATTTTCAAAGTGAATGTATGGATGGTTTGAGTTTATAAAAAAGAAGATACTGTCGATCAAAGATGGGAAGAGTTGAAGATTTCAGATTGTTTTGGTTCTGAAAAGGTTTATAAGCGCGCCACTCGTGCTTCTGAAACATCAGGAAGAAATTATTTTCCACAGGGGAAACCCTAAAAATTCACCAGTTTACATAGTCGAAACAGTTTTTTTGGGTCGATTTCGGGGCCTGACAGCTAAAGGCCTGGCGCAATTCTGCAAACATTTCAGAGGACGACTCTTAAAAAATGCAACTAAATAACCATTTTTGAAATATTGACAAAAACAAGTTTTAGCTCAGATTTAGGCTGTAAAACTAGAGCAATATTTGCTCGGTAGAGATCAATTCAGCTTAGAATTTTTTGAAAATTGGCAAACACTAATGGTGTAATATTTCTTCTATCTAAAACAGAAACTGCCTTCTCCTTATCTTTTTTCACTTATCAATGACAAATTTTTGAAAAACATTGCCACATCCTTTTTGCATTATACAAATCGATTCTTGCGCTTTAGCTTTAAAGACTATAACAATTTTTTGAAAATTGGCAAACACTAATGGTGTAATATTTCTTCTATCTAAAACAGAAACTGCCTACTCCTTATCTTCTTTCACTTATCAATGACAAATTTTTGAAAAACATTGCCACATCCTTTTTGCATTATACAAATCGATTCTCGCGCTTTAGCTTTAAAGACTATAACAATTTCAGGAAAAATCGGATAAATTTGGCAATTGGCGCCCTCTTAGAACAATATTTGGTTTATCTACCGTCGCAAATAGCAACTAGCTATCGACTTCTGGTTAAAATTCACAAATTTACAAAAAAAATCAATTTTTGCCAGAGACTATTAGCATAGTAGAGATTTTCTGATATGAACTTAACAAAATGCCAAAAATTCACAAAAAATGGTTCGATTTTGGCAATTGACACATTAATAGAGCAACATTTCCTCTATCTAAAGCCACTAAAACCAACTCACTGTACATTTGTAATTATAATTGACGCGTTTTTTTAAATCGCAACCGAATATTTGCAAACTTTTGCTCGATTCGCTCACTTTAATTTTAAAAAATTATAAAAATTTAGGAAAAATTGGGTTTCTTTGAGAATCTGCACACGAATATAGCAATAGCTCTATTTAAGACGGTTAATATCAACTCGCTACCTACTTTTAGCTATAACTGACAATTTTAAAGAAAAAACGCGACATACAGATCGTGCACCATAGAGACCAATTCTGGTACTTGAGCTGGAAAAACTGTTAAACTTTAGAAAAAAATCGAGTAAATTTAGCCAATTGATCACTACTAGAGCAATATTTTCTCTATCTAACGCCGTCAATATTAAGTAGCTGTCTACTTCCAATTGTAATTGACGATTTTACGAAAACTTGTGTAAATTGCTACAGACTTTTCGCACAGAAAGTTATAAGCTTGAATTTAAGAAAGGGCCAAAAATTCAGAAAAAATCGGGAAAATTTGGCAAGTACCACAAAACTAGAGCAAACATTTCAGGAATGAATTTAAAAAAAATGCGATTAATCAACTTTGCCACCTTAAAACCAGCCGATTTTAACGGTTTAGCACTTAGCTTTGGACTTAAAAAGACTAAAAACCTACTAGGACGGAAAAATAGCCCATTCGTGCTTGGGAAACTCGGTGAAAATATTTTCCACTACATTTTGGTCTATTGTGTTGCTTGATTGCTTTGTTCAGTAAAAGCTTCGATCATTCCGGGTGAAACCCATCAATTCTACTTTAGTAAAACCAGCATCTGATTAAAAACTCATGCAGTTTGCTCAACCCATTAAGATCTACCTACTAAGCCAAATAGATATGGTAATTCGCAACCTTGTGAGCAACAACGACAAAATGATACTTTACGATTGTGCTTCGCATATTCAATGATAGGCAGATTTCTAAACAACATACTGATTTGTAACAACATCTTTATATGGTTGGTGTAAAGATTGCCGTCTTTATGCGGACGATATATCTCTAATTGGACATTCAGTATCGAGATAAGTGTGGTAAAAAGGCAAAAAAATAGCAAATTCCCATCGATTGGAGAACTAAGTGGTTTATTTCCTTGCAGGTATGGACTCAGCTTCAAGACACGGACTTCAATCCTCAAGTGAGCGCCACGTGTAAAGCCGACCACACAATGAACATTCGAGTGAATTTCAACAGTTCTTTTCATGGAACCATTCATGCTAGGGACTACAGAACCCCAGCCTGTATGTCTGTAGGGGATGGAGGCAAATCGGTCACCCTCAATATAAGTCTGCTGGCCCCGCAAGGGTCTGCAGAATATTGCGGGCTGCTCGTTAATAATGTAAGTGATTCCGGCGAAATTTTTCATAAATTCAGGCATTCCAGTTCTGATGCAACTTGAAGCGCCCAAACCATAATTCATGTGCTTGTATATGTGTGGTATCCAAGCCAATACAGACAACCCATGTAATAGGTTGTGGGTTTCTTACATTGCCATCAGTGACGTCGCTTCGTGCACATTACCATATTTTATGGTCACATACGCCCAGTTATTACAATGACTTAATAATAAACGTGTTGCGTTGTAAATAACAGCCGCCAATGCCCGCATAACTCACTTTGAAGAATGGGCTTTCGAAGATGAAACACACCACAGGACATTTGAAAAACACAATGCCCTTTTCCATTGTCTGCAGCGTAAAAAATTGGCAAAAATCCCCAGAAATTCGACCTTCCACATTCAGATTTCACCACTTATGTAATCGGCTGCGTATGGGCTAAAGGAAGCAATTTAATGGGTGATTTAATAAAAAATTGCATTGTTCGGCTATCTGCTGGCACTTTAGGGCGTTTCAATGTTTCGTGGTTTCCTGCTGTTAACTTTCTTTTCTAAAGCCTAATCAACTTGCATTGTTTAGCGCTATTAGCGCCAACTACCATCTAGGTTGTAGTGATTAGAAGACACAGACGGTACCGAACGCCTTGAGCAGATCCTTTTGGTGCATTAAGCAACAATTTGCATTGTACCCGAACAATCAAAGCGCCGATAATGGCAACTGGAATTAGGCATTGTAGTCTTTTAATAATTGCCTTGCTTGGTCAAGAGCGCTTAACTGAAGACCAGCTGCTTACCATTACTAGGTCAGATATTATAAACGTACCGCAATCACTTGGGCAATCTTTAGCCGATTTCATTTTCCTATAATGCTAAAAAATCAAGCATTAATGGCCTTTTCGCCAGCTGATGTGGGAATTTCACTGCGAAAACCAGTTCTTAAGTAAGTGATTCACAAATTGCTATTCAACACCTTCAAGCTACATAAATAAATGCAAATTAAGCCACCCAATGTTGGGCTATTTTCCCGTATATTTGACTAGTTTTTTAGTCTTTGCGGAAGTCGTCTGAACAATGCGACGCAATTTATAATGATAGTTTAACCATTAAATTTGGCTGGTTTCAAGGTAGCAATGTTGATTAATTTTGTTAATTAGACACAAATGTGACCCGTTTTGTTAGGGCGGATTTTACAACATTGTTTCCATTTGCTAAGGAGGAGAGATGAATCATTAGGTACCAAGTTTGCCACCGTTTTTGGGGGGTTTTGGTCACTTTTTTAAATTAAAGTGAGAGAATGATTTATAATTTGCAAACAGTCGGGCGGAATTTTTTCAAGAATTTGTCTATTATAGTTGGCAGTGGGTAGCGAGTAGCTATTTACGGGTGTAGATAGAGAACATGTTGCTTTTTTGTGCTCAATTTTTCCAATTTGCCCAATTGTTGTTGAATTTTTGGCTGTCTGTTAAATTCAAGTCCAAAAGTTGTCTCTACTGTCTATTCAGGTTGTCGAGTTCGAGTTTCTCAAATTCGTCAATTTTAACTGGAAGTTCGATATCCGCTTGGTTTTAACGGCGTTAGATAGAGCCAATACTGCTCTATTAGTGCACCAATTGCCAAATTTACCCGACTTTTCCTGAGTTTTTGTCATTTTTTTAAATTGTAGTCTGAGAATCGAGCTGAAGTTCGCAAATATTGAGTCGCGATTTTTTCAAAAATGAGCCAACTATAGTTAGAAGTTCACAGTAAGTTGGTTTTAGTGGCTCTAGATAGAGGAAATGTTGCTCTATTAGTGTGTCAATTGCCAAATTTGCCCCATTTTTGGTGAAAATTTGCCATTTTGTTAAGTTCAAGTTTGCCAATAACCTGTCGCAAAAATAGTTTTTTTTGTAACTTTGTCAATTTTACCTAGAACTCGATAGGTAGTTGCAATTTACCGCGATGGATAGAGGAAGTATTGCTCTAAGAGCGTGCCAATTGCCCAATTTATCCGATTTTTTCTGAAATTGTTACATTTTCTAAAAGACCGGGATTCGAGCTCTATAGGGCAAAACGTTTGTGGCATTTTTTTTCAAAAATTTGTCATTGATAAATAAAAGTGGATAGGGAGATGGCAGTTACTGTTTTAGATTGAAGAAATATTGCGCTGTGAGGAGGAAAATAGCCAAATATACCATAGACTCCGGAAGTTTTGTAATTTTTCCTAATTCAAAGCTGAATTGATCTGTTCCGCGCAAACAGTTTGTCTTGATTTTTTCAAAAATTGATCAATCATAACTGGAAGCAGAGTGCTAGTTGGCATTAACTCTATTTGATAGAGCAAGTATGACTCTAATTTTACAGCGTTTGATAAATTTATCACAGTGTTTTCTTCAATTTCTGGGAATTTTTTAAAATTCACTTCTAGAAGTCTACTACCACTACTACTCTACTTTGTAATCAGTTTGTCGGGATTAATTCAAAAATTGGTCGCTTATGACTCGAAGCAGATGATGACTCAATATTGACTGTATCAGATAGAGAAAGGTTGGCTCTACTAATGCGCCAATTGCCAAATTTACTACATCTTTCTTGAACTCATGACATTTTTTTAAGTCCAAGTCCGAGAATTTATCTCTACTGTACCCACAGTCTGTCGCGATTTGATTCAAAAATTCGTCAATCATAACTGAAAGCTTTTGAAACTATTGGACAGAGAAAATATTGTTCTATTTGTACAGGGTTTTACTGCTTTGATGAATATTTTTCCCAACTTTTCTCGAATTTTTTAACACGAGCCTGACCATTGTCATCTATGGGGAAAACTCTTTGAAGCGACTTTTTCAAAAATTTGCCACTTAGGAACGAGAGCAGGCAATCAAAGAATGATAACGCTGTTCGATAGAGGAAATCCGCCTCTATGAATGTGGTTAGTGCCATAGTTATCACCTTTTCTCTGAATTTTTGGCATATTTTTATTACGTGAGTGAAAAGTGTCTTCAATTGGCTAAAAGTACAAGTGAGTAAAACACCTGTTTTCACATTCAATTACCACTGGTTATTATTGAAAAATTAACTAAAGGAAATTAGGAATCTACAAACGCAATGAAAAATTTTCCAGTAATACTTTAATGACATAAAAGTCCCTAGAAGACGCACTGAATGCCGGCAGCACCAGAAGAAACAAGCTGACAAATAGACTTTAATAAGTTCCAATTACGTTTTTAGTGTCGCAATAAATAGTGCCATTTATTTTCATTCATTTCCCAGATGGGAGTTTGGTTTTCTCTCTCCTTGGTACAGTTAATTTATAGATCTGGTTACCGCAAAGAGTTCCCACAAAGGAATTTTTCGCATAAGGCATGAATTATGCAGGTAGGCATGCTGATCAACGACTGTGGCGAAATGAAAGTTATTATAGAAAATCTCGATAATCGTGATTGGTTAATTTAGATGCGAGCCGAGATATAAAATATGAAATCTTGATAGGCCTAAATGGATGAATACCCCGGCAAAATGGGTTGATGGCACAAAGGATCAGCAGAGTGTGTATAAAGGCAGAAACGGCTCGTCTAGCTCGGCTCAATTTATTTATGGAATATTCCAATTACCACCAAATGCGCGGATAATTCAACCATTTTTATCGGTTAAAGAAGACGCAAGAAAAGTCAGTTCCGGTTGCTGTGAGGATTCACCGAACCCTCGAGTTGGCCAGCGATAAATTCTACGTGATAACCTGCGGAAAGGCCTCGTTCAAGACAAACCAATCTTCGCCTGTTTCACTTCAACTGCTGGATGGTGAGCGAAGAGTCACTAGAGCGGTGTATAGTAACCAGTATACTCTGAGGTAACTACTATTGAATATTTAAAAAAAAATGAAAATCAAAGCCCTCAAAGCGGAAAGAAGAGAAGGGAAATTTGTTTGCTGATGTTTTAATAAAGCAAATTTCCACAATCTAGTCATTCTATTGAAACTTAAATTGTTTGTTTAACATCATCTCATTGCCAAGTTGCTGGGACTTTGCCGCAGGTTCCCCTTAGGTAAAGAAGTAATTTGACCCAGCAGCTAGGGGGATTTGGGACTCAGAGATTCAATTATAAATAATGATAATAAAAGTGTATCTGTAAAATCCGGCTTTGCTTCGCAACATAATTCAAAAGCCGAGGATCCGATTAAGAAATACAGCAACTACCAACATTAATAACGGAACGACTTAATCCTTGCAAAAACTTGCTAACAATGGAAGTGTTTCGACTAATAAATCGTTTTTTTTAATATTAGGATCGAAATTTCGAAACCCGACAGCTCATACGGCTTTCGAGTGAAGAACTGCTTTGCCTTCAATCGGGCCAACACCAGCGTGATTCTAACAGACGAAAGAGGTTGTCCTGCTAAAGGCGACGCTATTGGTGCATTCACTTACAATGAGGCCAAAGGAATTGCTGACGCCCCGATACGATCCATGTTCAAGTTCCCTGAGAGCTCAGAAGTCCATTTTCAGGTCAGTTTAGTTGGGAATTTCAGTTTCAGCTGGGGCATTTTTGGCTGTTTTCAGTGCGATGTGGCTCTTTGCAAAGGTGCCTGTTTGCAGCCCTCCTGCTCTGGAGACGTTTCCAACTCTTTGGCGATAAATAATGACGAAGGAGTACTCATGGCTGCCAATACCGTGTTTGTGCTTGACCCGAGTAAGTTAAACACCTGCCCTTGTGTATGCGAAAGTCCCAAGTGTGTTTAGCGTCATGTTCAAGTGGATTTTGCAACTCAAAAAAAAACCACGCAGATCTAAAACTTCTTGAATTCAAGCATTTTTGAGAAAACTGCCAACAATTCCACATCCATGGATCACTTTCTGAAAAGGCCATTTATTTCTCTCTAGAATGATGTACAAATGAGCATTCTTGCTCATTTTGCCTCCGAGAAATGACCAAAAACGGGACGGAAAACATGTCTGAAAAGTGTCTGATAGTCAAATTTCGCTTTCTGGGTCAAAACTACTCGAATTTCCTCACTCACGTTGTTTCGACTGAATAGACGTTTCAATTCTATCCAACGATGCCAAAACGAATTCTGTGGCTCGAATGGTTCTTGAGAAACTTTGAAAAAAGCAACGTCATGTTCAAGTGGATTTTGGAAAACTGCCAACATTTCCTTATCGATGGTTCACTTTCTAAAAAGGCCATTTATTTCTCTCTAGAATGATGTACAAATGAGCGTTCTTGCTCTTTTTGCCTCCGAGATATGAGCAAAAGCGGGACCGAAAACATTAAATTTTGGCATAATCTTGCACCTAAGTGTCTGCTATACAAATTTCGCTTTCTGGGTCAAAACTACTCGAATTTCCTCACTCACGTTGTTATGACTGAATCGAATTTTCAGTTCTCTATCCAACGATGCCAAAACGAATTCTGTGGTACAAATGGTTCTTGAGAAACCTTGAAAAAAGCAGCGTCATGTTCAAGTGGATTTTGCGACTCAAAAAAAAACCACGCAAATCTAAAACTTCTTGAATTGAAGCCTTTTTTGACAAAACTGCCAATATTTCCTTATCGATGGTTCCCTTTCTAAAAAGGCCATTTATTTACTGTCTAGAATGATGTACAAATGAGCGTTCTTGCTCATTTTGCCTCCGAGAAATGAGCAAA